GTGTCTGATTTATTTCACTTTACGGCATCAAGGGGCATCCATTTTCCTATAAATGCTTTAAATTTATCCTTCTTTGTGGCAGAATAGTACTCTATTGTGTATAAATACCATATCTGTTGATGGATGCACATCTGATTCCAAGATTTACATATTATGAGATGTGCTGCTGTGAACATGGGTATGCCTACGTCACTGCAGTATGACATCTTTAACTCTTTTGGAAAAATACCTACAGGGGTTGGGGATATAGCTCAGATGCATAAGTACCTGCCTGGTAAGTGCAAGGTTCTGAGTTCAATTCCCAGTACCCCCGCCCCCCGCCAAAAAAATGGAAAAACAACTAAAAAGGGAATATCTGAGTTGAATGGAATTTCTATTTTTAGTTGTTTGAGGTATCTCCATATTGATTTCCATGTGGTTATACTCGTGTATATGCCCAACAACAATGTTTTCCCCACAGCCTTTCCAGCATTTGTTATTGTTTGATTTCTTGATAGTAGCCATTCTTTCTGGAGTGAAATGGAATCTCAGTGTTATTTTAATTTGCATTTCTCTAGTGGCCAACGATGTTAAACATTTTTTCATTTATTTATTGTCCATCTGTACTTCTGAGAAGAGTCTTCCTTTCAGATGCCCACTGTTGGATTGGGTCTTTAAATTTTCAGGGGAGGGGGCTCTATTCTTTCTTTGAATTCTTTATATATTCTAATACTAGTCCTTTGAGGAATAACTGACAGAATTTGCTTCCCATTCCATAGGTTGTCTCTTCACTCTGTTGGTAATTTCCTCTGGTGTACAGCTTTTTTTTTTTTTCTTATGCTCCTTGTTGATTTTTTTTAATATTTCCTGTGCAGTTTGGGTTCTGTTCAGAAACCTACACCTATGCCTTTAAGATTGCTGTTTTAATATTTAGATCTTGGGTCCATTTTGATTTTAGTTTAGTACATAGTGAGAGATATGGGCCTAGCTTTGATATTCTGCACATGGAGAACCAGTTTGCCCAGCACCATTTGCTAAAGAGGCAATCTTCCTCCAGCATAGGTTTTTGGCCCCGTTGTCAGAGATCAGATGGATAAATGTACCTGTTCCATTGATCCACATGTCTGGTTTGTGCCAGCACCTAGTTATCTTAGTGAG